CAAAGTTTGTCCCACGATGTCGGAGATCATTCTATTCAGAAAAGAAAATGGCACTTGGGAGTCAAAAATTGGATTCCTTTTTCTGAAGACATTCATCTGCTGTAAACCACATTGTGTCTGTGCACCCTCTTTTTCTGAGTCCCATAGTAGTGCATGGTGCTGTACAACCACAGAGAAAGGTACAGTCACTGCTGCAAGGAACTGTCTACAGTTAATGTGAAGCTACTGACTTTTATACTGATTACTGAAGTATACTTCTATGGTTAGCTCTTTCCAAGTACTAAAATAGGAAACTGAACTTTCTGTCTCTTTCTCTCAGTCACTCATACAGTGTTTTAATATCAATAGCATGCAAATATACTGCCACCTGCAGGATAGTGATTACTATCTATTTGCAGTTTGGCAATAGTTAACTTTGCAAATATTTTTCTCCCTATTTATCATAAACACGTGTTATCTTGAAATGGAGATGTTTCCTTGTGAAAATGTTTTTCTCCACTACATTTTAAAGGTGAAATGGGAGTTTTCCCACTGACTTCAATGGAGTCAGAATTTCATCCTTAGAGTTGAGGATGAGAGAAACATAATTTATTTTATTTTTGCTTATAGGACAGTCCTGCTTTTGATGCAGTTTAGTACCTGCACTTTTAGATGGTGCCCACTGACCTTTTTGATATTTGATATGAACTTCTATGAACTGATCTTCCTACCTAATAAACATTTTGTTTAGTGTGCAGTTTCTGCTATTTGGATCCTGTAAATAATACTTAATCAATCATTTATCAGTTTCCCTGCTCTTCCTACTTAATTTTAGATCAGTGGTCTCAAAGTGGGGTGCGTGCAAGAGGATCCTTGGGGTGCGCGGCAGGAGGTGCGCTTTTATTTATTTATTTTGCTTTGGCAGTTTGGGCAGGAGTCCGAGCGGCTTTTTTTTTTTTTTTTGTTTTGTCAAAATGGTTAAAGCCAGGGATCTGGGGGGGCTTGTTATAAAATGTTTTTCTGAT